AAACAACAAGATCCTTGAAATTACAGAGTGTGCTCCCATTTATTTCTACCCCACAATAGTACCTGCCACTGTGTCTCAGGAAGTTAAAGTGCTCAAATAAGTGTGTTGAATTTAAATTCAAAAGCTCCTAGTGATAAACTATGTTCCAAAGAAAAGTAATACTGTGCCATATCCATGTCTCCCCTTATAGTGTATGCTTTGTTAAGGACTGATCTACCTGATTTTAAAGCAAGGCACACATCTGTATTTTAATGAAAATTGGCCCAGGCAATTTTATACTAGGCTCTTCCATTCTTAACCTGAAGTCACCATACCATCAACTAGTCAAGGGAGGACAGTGAAGGAGGGAAGGAGTAAGCAAAACTGGTTTTCCTCCTTATGATAGGAGATACAGACATAGGCACATCCTACACTGTGATGAGGAAGTCATTTCACTCCCTTTACTTCAGCCTCACACCTAGGCCATGGCCACAGAGCTGGGGACAGAGGAGGACAGTGTGGTCAAGAACTTGGGCATGGGCTCTGAAGCCACACCCAGACTGTGAGTTGGGATCCTGGTTCTACCACATGGGAACTGAGTCCCAAGGGCAAAACACTCAGCTCCTCTAAGCCTCAGTTTCCTTTTTTGTAAAATAAGAGGGATAACTGTAATTGTATCTCGGAATTGCTGAGAGGGGCTTGGCATGGCACGTGGATAGCATGTAGTAAACATTGAGAAGAAACATTAGGGAAGAGTGTGATAGAATTGGCATTGGCATGTCATTCTGTCAGAAGCTGAACTCATACATGTCAAAACATTGTTGTCATAATGGTTTAAAATTGCAATAATGGTTGCATCACCGGGGGACCTTAATTACAACCCAGTGCAGAGGAACATCCACTGAACTTCCAGCTGGAAGCCCTGGGTCTGGTCTCCACTGTGGCCTTTGGTACAGTGAGATCCAATGTGTCACGCAGAGCAGAGGGATGCTGGCGCCCCTGGGTTGTCCTGGAGCTCTGTCTTCCCTTGCCCTCAACTGTCTTCCTGGAAGGAATTCATCCATGTCCATGACTTTAATCATCATACATGAATCACCCACAGACCTCTAGGCCTAATTGTCTCTGGTACATGCAAAAACTTCTATGCTCCATAAATTCAATTGTTAATAGTTATTTTATTCTGTCTGATTCCTTCCTCCATGTAAGTTTTGAGCTATTCAGGTTTGTCTTCTCTACTCTGGTTGCTAACTAGTTAAATTCGGGTGCTCAAGTTAGGTCTTTCTAAAGGCAGTGAAAGAAATCTCTGCAAAATAAGGAGGAACTCTTTTATCTTCCTCTGCATCTGCAAGAAAGCACATGATAATCTGCGTGACAAAACTGACCTTGAAAATGTTTTTTCTAACGAAGGAGTCACTTGCATTTTGGAGATGGTTGCCACGTGAAAGTAACTTTTAACCTTAGAAAAGCGTAATTCTGACTTGTTATCTCAGTGAATTTTTTTTTTCTGGGATAATACTTAAATGAACATTTCTGTTTGCCGAAAGCTGTAAGTGCTTGTGAATTTTCCTTGCCAAATCCAGAAATAATTATTGCACTTTCCTCTTTACCTGCAAACTTGAAAGTAAACTAAAACTTTTGACTCTCAGATTTCTCATTTAAGCAAAAAAAAATGTTTTTCTATTTTAAGTTAAAATTCCCAAGGTTCAAATCAGTACTTCCAATCACTTCATTTTTATCTCTCAGACACCTTGAATTTAACATATTTCAAACTACACTCACCATCTTCCTCCAACACCATTTGACGCCTGTGCTTTCTGTCTCAGTGAAGGTGAAAATCTCTACCCAGCCTCCCAGATTAGAAACTGAAGTCATTCTCGCCTCCTCTTCTTACCTTCCTGCCCTATTCAGTCATCAAGTCCCATCAAGTTGGTCATAGCGGCAGCGCCAGGATCCGCCACTCTCTCCCACATTCCACTTTCACAGTCCAGGCTTAGGTTCTTGTAATTCCCTTCCCCTAACCCTAGACCACTGCAAAAGCCTTCAAACATTTTATAAGACGGCTTTCATGTTGATGCCATTATGCCCCTAAAAAGCATGTTACTCTGCTTAAAAATTTTCATGGTTCCCAGTTTCCATAGGTTCCCATATCTGTCCCAATCTTCCCATCATTTCTCACTTAGAACACCATGCTTCCATCTCAAGAAGGCACTTATCCTTCCCCAAAGACATTCTGGATTTTTTTTTTTTTTTGAGACAGAGTCTCACTCTGCCACCTAGGCTGGAGTGCAGTGGTGCAATCACAGCTCACTATAGCCTCAACCTCCTGGGCTCAAGTGATATTCCCACCTCAAGCTTCCCAGTAGCTGGGACCACAGGAGCATGCCACCACACCCAGCTAATCTTTTAATTTTTTGTAAAGATGGGGCTCTCACTATGTTGCCCAAGCTGGTCTTGAACTCCTAGCCTTAAGTGAACCTCCCACCTCAGCCTCCCAAAGTGCTGAAGTTATAGGCGTGAGCCACCACACACAGCCAAGATTTAAAAAAAAAAAAAAAATTTGCAACCATTTACAGATGATGTCTCCCATGCATGAACGCTCTTACCTCCAACTTACTATTCCTTTATTCACCATTCAAATCAAATGTCACCTCCTTGGTGAAGCATTGCCTGACTTCACCATGGAATGCCAGTGTTTTCTGTTCTTCCAGTACTTGACTAATATCTTAATTGTAACATTGCTTTGTATCATAACTATCTATTTGCTTTTGGCTCCCAAAATACACTGTGAATTCCTTGAAGCGAAGGGAGGTGTTTATTCAACTTTCCATCTCTAACCTGGTATTGTCATTGGTCTATAGTAGTTATCCAATAAATCTAAAATGAACGAAACTCAATTTAATTTTATCTTTAGAGGGAGAATGACTGTCTCACTGACGACCAAATGAAATAATGTGTGTGAAATGCTTTGAAGAGAGATAATACAGTGACTAGACTTCCCCAACAAACCAACAAGATGCATCCTAACTCCCCTCCAATTGCGGCATTTGCAGTTCACCATAAGTTCCCCTGGTGGTCTCTCAGCAGAAACCAGCTGGCCACAGAGTATGGGAATGGAGGCTGGAACTTGTCAGTTGAGAAGACCGAAGTTTGAGTTTCAGCAATACCACAGTCTAAATCTGTGATCTTGAAGAAGCTATATCAGCTTCTTGGATATCAGTTAACTCCATCCCCAAAATGATGACATTAAACCTAGATGAACAAATTCCGCAATTCTGTAACTGCTCACTTAAAAGCTGAGACTACTCCAGCAAACATTCTCATACCTCAAGGACATCATCTTTTAAGTTCCCACAGAAATGGAACCAACTCAAGAACTTCAGTCAGCATGGCAGGTCCCTTGTGAAAAATACGATCAGCATTTAGCGATGCAGCACAATTTGAGAGACGCTGGAAAAATCTTTAGTCCCAGATTTCTCCTTCCATGAGAAGTTACTTTTTAAGTTAAGACATTTATTTTGTCTAACATTCCCCTTTTGAAATGAAATACCTTGTGAAAGGATAATATTTTTCTCCAGTCTTGGGCTGAGTGTCTTCTCCCTTCTACCTGGGCTCTCAATCATAACTTGCTTCCACACTTTCCCCTCCCTTCCTAGAATCCATTTTTCTATCAGCTCCTTTATTCTACATCCAAATGTATCTCTAAGCTTAATGCCAACTTTCTTTGATGCTTCCTCCTCTTCTGTGGTCTACTCTTTATTCTCTTGTTGCTACCATATTTACAGACAGAACAGGAATCAGCAAAGAGACAAGAGGTTGAAGAACTAAAATGAGGACTGGTTCTGGTACTGTATCCTGGCCAACCAAGAAAGAAGAGAATTTCAAGAAGGAAGGGTTATCGGCATCATCAAATCAAAAAAGTAAAGAAGAAGGTGAGGATGACTAAGCCTGCTAGCTTCAGAGATCAACGGGAGGCTGGCCAGTGTCCGCCTCATTACCAAATCTGAAAGTCTTTCCTGTCAATGGCAGAAGAGATTTGGAGTGGTTAATCAAATCTCAAAAAAAAAAAAAAAAATGCCCCAGTTTTCAGAATGTAGACTATGAAAAGCAGGCTTCCTGTGAACCCTTTGGAGAGTCTGGTTGACCCCTTGCCTCAACTCCCAGATGTGGGAAGATGGTGAAACGTCAACAAACCAACACACCTGTCTTTTAGATACAGTAACAAGAGCAACACCTTATGCCTCTTCTTTAGCTTATTTTATTAGAATATGATATTATTCCTCCATTTATAATTTTTAAAAATTGAGGCTCAGATGGGGTTTAAATTACTTTTCAAGTCATACATCCCCTAATACAGTGCTTCTAAAGAGATTTCTGCTGAACACACCTCCAAGTTTTTGTCTCTGTTTTATTCTACTAATCCTGCACTCCTTAAAGGGCCAAACCACCGACCTTTCCCCCAAGCTATCTCAAGGGTTTAGTAGTCCACTGACCTTTGGTAGTTGAGGAAGAGCAGGAGATTCTATGATGATATCTTGGATAGTTTCTCAAACAATAAAATTGTCTTGGTCTATGCAGTACTGGTTCCTCCCCAGATCAGAGTTTATCATACCCTGAAATTGACTGGTAATTGCTCCACCAAAAAGTCCCTAAATTTCAGCTATGCAGTTGGCTGGTCAGGGATGGCTAGATGGAAACAGATGGGGAGAAACTTTTGACGGGTCCAATGAATGATTAACACAGAAATGAAACAGAACTGTTTACCTAAGCTCCTTCCTCTTCACTAGTCCTCATTCTTTATAACATGTTGCAATCGTTTACTTTCTCCTCTGCCAACCATTTCCCCTAAGTGGAAAGGTAATTTAAATTTGAAGCCAGAATTCGTTTTTCTTTTCATAAACACGCGAGAGTTATGCAAGACAAAATCCAGCTTTGCCTGGAAACCTTAGATACTGCGAGGTTCAGACAGGCTCCACAAAAATGATCCACTTTCAGCCGGGCACGGTGGCTCAAGCCTGTAATCCCAGCACTTTGGGAGGCCGAGGTGGGTGGATCACGAGGTCAAGAGATCGAGACCATCCTGGTCAACATGGTAAAACCCTGTCTCTACTAGAAATACAAAAAGTTAGCTGGGCATGGTGGCATGCACCTATAATCCCAGCTACTCAGGAGGCTGAAGCAGGAGAATTGCCTGAACCCAGGAGGCAGAGGTTACAGTGAGCCAAGATCGCGCCATTGCACTCCAGTCTGGGTAACAAGAGCGAAACTCTGTCTCAAAAAAAAAAAAAAAAAAAAAAGATCCACTTTGAATGACACTAGGCGTGCTTTCCTGGAGTTTGGGAGCCGATGTTCTTGCCCAGAGCTCATCTCTGTCCCACCCCAAAGAATTACAAAAGGTGGGGAATTTATCAAACACGTATTGGGTTTCCAATATGTGCTGAGTTATCTAGAACGTATTCAGAGTTCAGCAAATGTTGACTACTACTACGTGTCAGGCATCAGACGGCCTCCAGAAGTTGATCTATCCAGTGATGCTCAGAAGAACACAATGAAGGATTGGCCATGTTTCTTACCACATAGGTCTAAAAAGGCCACAAGCACTGACATTGTCCGATTAAGCTACTAATCCTCAAGCTTAAGATTTGTGTGCTCAGAAGATTGCTGTTAAAAGACGATTCTGAGAACTTCATTTTTTTCTGTAATAAATACTAAAAGTCCCAGAAGAGTTTCAGAAAAGGAGCTAAACTACAACAGATTGAGTTAATCAAGGAAGGTTTTACAGAAGATGTGAAATTTGAATAAAAGGTAGAAATTATGAGATAAAAGTGGTAAGGACATTAGATGTAAAGAAACCATTTGCTAGTCACCAAGGTGAGACACTGATTTGACGAGAGTGAACAGAGGAGGATTCCAGATTGCACAGTCTTAAGAGCTAAATAGGAAGAAATATCACCTTTAAAGCTGGTATGTCTTTAAAGTAACATTTCCCAATGTACTGAAGTCTTTCATTTACTTTCCACAATGATTCTTGCAGATTTTTCTCTCCAGGTCACCAAATTGTCATGTTCCCTCTCAGCAGATGCCCTTGCCTCCTACTTTACTAAAAGTCATTCTCCCTTAGCTTCATCGATGTCAGATTTTCCCCCCATTCACTCCTCCTTCGGGGGAGAATTGTTTCTTCTTTGCCTGCCTCATTTTCAATGCATCCCTCATCCTGAAATGCTGCTTCAATTTTGCGAGTACCTCAAATTCCGTCGTTCTTCTTTAGCATGAGGCTGAACTTCTCACAGGTGTAGCCTATTCCATCTGCCTATTCTTTTTTTTTTTTTTTTTTTTTTGAGATGGAGTTTCGCTCTTGTTCCCCAGGCTGGAGGGCAATGGCATGACCTCGGCTCACTGCAACCTCCACTTCCTAGGTTCGGACAATTGTCCTGCCTCAGCCTCCTGAGCAGCTGGGATTACAGGCATGCGCCACCATGCCCAGCTAATTTTTTGTATTTTTAGTAGAGACGGGTTTTCACCATGTTGACCAGGATGGTCTTGATTTCTTGACCTCATGATCCACCTGCCTCGGCCTCCCAAAGTGCTGGGATTACAGGCGTGAGCCACCGTGCCCTGCCTTCCATCTGCCTATTCTTTCTCATTCATCGCTCCGCCTGTTGCTTTCCCATCTGGCTTCTACCCACTCTTCTACTGACAGGTCTCTCTGAGGCATGCCCTTAGGTCCAAGTCCAAAATATCTTTAATAAATTTCTTTATGATCTGTCTGCAACCTTTGTCACTGCTGACCTTTTCCTTTTTGAAACTCTCTTGTCCTTTGGCTTCCATGGCAGTAAACTTTCCTGATTCTCTTACCTAATTTCTCTTTCTTAGTTACTGTTACCTCCTCTTCCTCCCCTTCATTCCTAAATATAGATATATCTCAGGCTCCTCTTTAAAAAAAAAATCGCTTTGTAATTTTAATGATCTTCCTTTCTGTCACAGCTTGAACTATTACCAGCAAGAAGACTAGCTGGCACTACATTTTTATTTCTGATTACTCTCCCAAACTCAAGACTTGCTTTCTGGTTTTATTATTATTATTATTGCCCACTGGACATCTTGCAATCACGTCACCCTCAGCACATCCAAAGAGGAATTTCTCATTTCCTGCTAACAAGCTTCACTTTCTGACCCCAACTTGTTTTTGACCACTGATTCTCAGGAATAAAATTTCAGATCCACTTTTTAACTCCTCATTTCCCTCACCCTTCAGTGTTCAATTGTTGACAGGTTGTTTTGATACAAGTTTTGCAATGTCTCTCATGTCTCTGCTGCTTTTTCATTTCTGCTGCTGTCAGACTGGTTTGGGTTGAAAGTGCCTCCCGTATGGACTATTGTAGGAGCCCTTTCATTGGCTTCTCTGTCTTACTTCTTTTCCCTCATCAACCAATACTGCAACCAACATTGTGAGAGAAATATTTATGTATATCCTATTACTTCCTTGTTTGAAAGGCTTCCATGTCTCCAGGGTCCGCCTGCCAAAAGCAAGTATATATTCTCTGCCTACCAAAGACAAGTGGATATTCTCCAGCATGTCATTCAGATCCCTCCGTAAACTGACTCTGACTTCTCTTTCCAGCCGCCTTCTCTCTCACCACTTTCTATGCCTCATCTAGGCCAACCAGGCTATGTGCAAGTTCGTAAACATAGCCGATTTTTCTGCCTCTGTGTTGCGCCTTCTAAATGTATTATTATTTGAAATTCATTTTACAACACTAAAAAGCCGTAAGAGAATAAACACCTATAATTACACCACTCTAAGACAATTGTTTTTTATCTTTGCCTATCATTGTCTAGCACCTTCCCACAAGAATAAAGGTTTTGCATAAATGCAGTCATAAGCCCTTGTTATTAAATATTCTATTTTTACTTAAGATTACATTTTTAAGATTTTCTACTTCCTCATAATTATCACTGTGTAAGTCTGTATTATATTTGAAGTACCATAACTTTCTAAAAATTTTCCTAAGAATGGACATTTCAAATGCTCATAAGATCCTCCCAGATAGACATATATGTAAGAAGTAGCTTCAATTTCAAATCATTTCGTTCCAGTTAGATTAATCCTAGGAATAAATTTACTTGGTTAAAAATCTTATTTTTGTCTCACTCCATTTCTCGAATATTCTTTCCACCCGGAATGTGCTCCCTAATCTTTGTCTCTAATTCTCACTCAGTTTTGAAGGCCCAAATAACTATGACTTCTTCCTTGACAATATTCCTGCCTCCTCCTCCCATCAGAAGTGAACCTCCTCTCATCTGAGCTCTCATAGCCCACAATTGTCTGAAAAGTGTTTAGTTCATCCTATCCCCTCTAAAGTAATGCTATATGTGTACATGTCTTGTGTCTATTAGCAGACACTGGGGTACTCAAGAGTCCATCTCTTATTCCCCTTTCTAACTCTACCTAGCGATTTTCCATTATTTCAAGCTGGCTTGTGTATTTTGGTTGTGTTTTATCCAGATATCCTATGTGTTTCAGGTAGCAGTCAGAATAAGAGGTGGAAGAAGCTTGTCACACCAGCTCTGTATGACGTCTTGATAGAAAGCCATAGGATTCTTATTTCTTCTACCCTTAAAGAAGGAGAATTGAAAATAAAAACTAATTTAAAATTTTTGTTTTTAAAAAGAGAAGAAATATATTCACTTGTGTTGCACCATCTCAAACCTACATGCAGGACCAGGTTTCATTCAAAAGGCAGTCAGCCATTTTCCTGCAGAGAATTTGGAAACCTGCTTTGATAAACCAGATGGGCAAGACTTGGAGGAGAGTTTGGGTCCTAACTCTACTTCTGTTCCAACGGGTCATTTTTGAGGACGTAACGACTCTAAGCATCTTTTCCGAAATGGGAGGTTAATTTTTGCTTCATAAGTTTCTATCAGTTTTGGTTTCTTTGTTTTTTGTTTTTGTTTTTGATATGAAGTTTCGCTCTTGTAGCCCAGGCTGGAGTGCAATGGTGCAATCTTGGCTCACCACAATATCTGCCTCCCAGATTCAAGCAATTCTCCTATCTCAGCCTCCCAAGTTACTGGGATTACAGGCATGAGCCACCACACCTGGCTAATTTTTTATGTTTTTAGTAGAGGCGGGGTTTCTCTATGTTGGTCAGGCTGGTCTCTATCTCCCGACCTCAAGTGATCCACCTGACCTGGCCAGTTTTGGTTTCGTAATTCAAGTCTCATGTTAAAATACAAGACATGCTGTCAGCTGAGATCAGAGTTTCCCTATACTCCTTACAGACTGAAGATTAAGCCCACCATTCTCCAATAACAAGTTGCTAATTCTGGTCTTAGACAACCACTACATTTGGCCTTTTCACATTCTGAGAACAACACACACACACACACACACACACACACACACAGTGCATTACACAACTGCAGTTGGCAATTTCAGCCCAATAAGAGGTATATCTGAAACCAATTTCAGAGCCAAGAGGAAGATTTATTCATAGGTTTATTTCTATTACATCTGCTCAGCTGCAGTTTTAAACAATTTTGCCTTCAACTCACTTTTCTTCAGCTCCAGAGAATATTTTAGCTCTTCCATTGTCATATCACTTTCATTTAATTGTTGTATAAAGTTCTCTATGGCTTTGCAGAGGTCCTCACTCTCCTGAAAGGCAAGCTGAAGAGAGAAAATGTTCTACAAGTTACAAGGGAAGGACGGAGACCCGGCTATATGCTCTGAAGCCAGTGAGCAGCAGTGAGCAGTGAGCAGCAGTGAGCAGTGAGCAGCAGTGAGCAGTGAGCAGTGAGCAGCAGTGAGCAGTGAGCAGCAGTGAGCAGTGAGCAGTGAGCAGCAGTGAGCAGTGAGCAGCAGTGAGCAGTGAGCAGCAGTGAGCAGCAGTGAGCAGTGAGCAGTGAGCAGCAGTGAGCAGCAGTGAGCAGTGAGCAGCAGTGAGCAGTGAGCAGTGAGCAGCAGTGAGCAGTGAGCAGCAGTGAGCAGCAGTGAGCAGTGAGCAGCAGTGAGCAGTGAGCAGCAGTGAGCAGCAGTGAGCAGTGAGCAGCAGTGAGCAGCAGTGAGCAGTGAGCAGCAGTGAGCAGTGAGCAGTGAGCAGCAGTGAGCAGTGAGCAGCAGTGAGCAGTGAGCAGCAGTGAGCAGCAGTGAGCAGTGAGCAGCAGTGAGCAGTGAGCAGCAGTGAGCAGTGAGCAGTGAGCAGCAGTGAGCAGTGAGCAGTGAGCAGTGAGCAGCAGTGAGCTCTCTCAGTGGGGGCTCAGAACCAGGCTAGCTTTAGCAAAGATTTGTGTTTTCAACACAGTGAATCATTTATATTTTCTGGCTTAAATATACTTATTAATATTATCCCAGTAATAAAGATGAACCAAAAGAAGAGTCAACGAAAATGGATCTGCTCAGTGTTGTGTGTCTGTTGTTTGCTTTTGGAGCCTAGAAGTATTTTAGAGACTTTTCCCATTCTCACACATTGTGCTACGTGCCTTGCTCTATAATAGGGATCCCCAACCCCAGCGCCACAAATCAGTACCTGTCCATGGTGTATTAGGAACTGGCCCACACAGCAGAAAGTGAGTGGCGGGCAGGCAAGCAAAGCTTCATTTATAATTACAGCCACTCTGCATCGCTTGCATTGCTGCCTGAGCTCCGCCTCCTGTTAGATCAGTGGTGGCATTAGATTCTCATAAGAGTGTGAACCTTATGTGAACTGCCCATGTGAAGGATCTAGGTTGCCTGCTTCTTATGAGAATCTAATACCTGGTAATCTGTCACTGTCTCCCATTACTCCCAGATGAGAATCTAATACCTGATGATCTGTGTCACTGTCTCCCTTCACTCCCAACTAGATGGGACCATCTAGTTGCAGGAAAACAAGCTCAGGGCTCTCACTGATTCTACATTATGGTGAGTTGTATAATCACTTTATTATATATTACAATGTAATAATAATGATAATAAAGTGCGCAATCAATGTAACGCACCCGAATCATCCCCAAACCATCCCCACTCTCTCCACCCCCATCCATGGGAAAACTGTCTTCCATGAAACCCATCCCTGGTGCCAAAAAGGTTGGGGAATACTGGTTTATATGGCACATGAGACAACACCTCCTACCAACAGGGTCTCATGAGGGTCTCATGGTGTTGAATGGGAACTCCAACTTCCACCTATAAAAATGTGAGTTAATAGTTTATGAGCCCCTTCTATAGCCAGGCCAAGGCCAACACATTCACAAACAAAATATCCCACATTGAGCAGATATATACTGAGCATATGCCGGGGGTGATGCCAGGCCCTGGAGATCCAGCTGTGAACAAGACAGACACGAGCCCCCTACTTACAAATGCCTTCTCATACTCTGGTTTGGGAGCTTCCTGGATCAACTTGCAGACTGGAGGTACACTGCTCCACTCCCCATCAATGCACTGCTGCTGCTGTGTGCCCACTAAGTAGTACCTGAACAGAAATTAGAACAAGGCTTAGCTTTTCCCGAATTGGGTAATGGAGACTGGTTTTGTGTAGTTGTATTTCAGTATTTCATGCTGTGATGGAATCCACCTCCCTGTCCTTGAGCCTTAACGCACGCTTAAGTTATCTCGGTATTACAACGCTGTTAAAAGTGAAACCATTCTCCTGGAGGTGGGAAGGATCCAAGCAAAGAGTCAACCCATAAAACATAGAGAAGTGAGAAATTCTGAATCAGGTGCTTACCCACACAGGCTTTGTGTGGGAAGAGTGAGAGAAGCACTTTATCATTCAATAGCCTAAAAAGGCACCTGGCATCTAAGTTTAAAAAAAAGTAGAAAATGAGAAACACCTTTCAAATACATCTTAGCAAAGGGGCTAAAAAGGAGCAATAGCTTTTAATCAGAAAAATGAGAGAGTTGCCTGCCAAGTCCTTTGAAGTGCCAGGGAGGCCACTTGACTGTGTGTTAATTAGGTGGCTTTAAGGGTCTGTCTGTATACTAAGTCTTTATATTTCTGCACTTCTGTATTTATTTATTAGTATTTTTATTCTCTGATTTTTTTTTAAGAAAAACATACATTTTAAGCCAGGTGGGGTGATTCATGTTTGAAATTCCAGCATTTTGGGAGAAAAAGAGGGAGGATCACTTGAGCTCAGGAGTTCCAGACCAGCCTGGGCAACACAGGGAGACCCTGTCTTTACAAAACTTTAAAAAAATTAGCCAAGTGTGGTGGCCCGTGCCTGTTGTCTAAGCTATTAGGGAGGCTGGGGTGGGAGGATCATGTGAGCCTAGGAGGCAGAGATTGCAGTGAGCTATGAGCACACCACTGCACTCCAGTCTGGGGACAGAGGGAGACACTGTCTCAAAAACAACGACAACAACAAATTCACATTTAATTTATTTTTCACTTTTCTGCCCAGAATGAAGTGCAATGGCGCCATCTAGGCTCACTACAACCTCTGCCTCCCCAGTTCAAGCGATTCTCATGCCCCAGCCTCCCAAACAGCTGGGATTACAACCAAGTGCCACCACACCCAGCTAATTTCTATATTTTTAGTAGAGATGAGGGTTTTGCTGTGTTGGCCAGGCTAGTCTCAAACTTCTGACCTCAAGCAATCCGCCTACCTTGGCCTCCCAAAGTGCTAGGATTATAGGTATGAGCCACCATGCCCAGCCAAACCTATACATTTTAAATAATTTATCTTGTCTTGACAGAGAGGAAAAAGAGATACTTCAATTAGGATAAGTAAGATACTTTTGTAGAATCAATCTCTCTTCTAGGGATTGGGGAGAGTGAGCAGAGGGCCAAAACAGCTCTCAAAATCAGAATGAGCTCAGAATCCTGCAGCAGTAGGAAATCAGACAGCCAGGTAGACACAGACTGGGTTATTCTCAAAAACAGCGCTTCGAGGGGCAAGATCTGGCATTTGACAGGCTGTGTTCACTTACCTGTCTTCACAGTGATAACTAACGGTGGATCCTAAGGTGAAATTATTTCCTTCAAAATAGCCATGAGCTGGATTCCCAGGAGGGCCACAGTCTCCTGAGAGAAAGGAGTATAGAAGTGACAGTTGTGAGGGCCAGGTATATTCAATGAACAGCACCCCTACATGCAGCTGTTTATGCCAGCACCTGACGTCCTCAGAGCAGCACCTGTGAGATCTGGGGATGTGTTCTCCATTCATTTCCTTCTCTTTTGAATCGTATTTGTCCGTGGAAAAGAGCTTTCCCCCAGTTCCTCTTAGTTACTAGGGATTTAAAAGTAAATTCCTAGTTTTACTTCTAAATCCTCTGACTAGCAGGAGCTCCAGGAAAGAAATTTTAAGTTGTAGTGATGCTAATCGTTAATGTACATGAAAAGGAAAATTGAGCCATAGATGAGGGCTGAAGAAATAACTCCCTGAGAGAGGAAATAAAGCATGGGAGTTCAAATGGAAGCTGACGTTCGTTGTGGCTAAGAGTGTGTTAGTCCATCTCACATTGCTATAAACAAATAATTGAGACTGGGTAATTTATAAAGAAAAGAGGTTTAATTGGCTCACAGTTCCACATGCTGTACAGGAAGCATGGTACTGGCATCTGCTTAGCTTGTGGGGAGGCCTCAGGAAACTTACAATTATGGCAGAAGGCGAAGGGGAAGTGAGGCATCTCACATAACAGGAGCAGGAACAAGAGAGAGGGAGGAGGTGCTACACACTTTTAAACAATCAGATCTCATGAGAACTCACTCACTATCATGAGGACAGTACCTAAAGGGATGATGCTAGACCATTCATGAGAAATCCACCCCCATGATCCAGTCACCTCCCATCAGACCCCACCTCCAAGACTGGAGATTAAATTCAATATGAGATTTGAGCAGGAACACACAGCCAAACTACATCAAGGAAAGTATCAGAAACAGAGAATAAGGTGGGAACAGTGGCTCACACCTGTAATCCTAGCACTTTGGGTGGCAAAGGCAGGTGGATGGCTAGAGGCCAGGAGTTAGAGACCAGCCTGGTCAACATGGCAAAACCCAGTTTCTACTAAAAATACAAAAATTAGCCTGGCATGGTGGTGCTACTTGGGAAGCTGAGGCATGAGAATCACTTGAACCTGGGAGACGGAGGTTGCAGTGAGCTGAGATTGTGCCACTGCACTCCAGCCTTGGCGACAGAGCAAAACTCTGTCTCCAAAGAAAAAGAAATAGGGGAGAACATGGCTGGAACAGAAGAGGATGAGTCTGTGGAAATGCGGAAAGAAAACTGGATGACGTGTTAGGAGTTGGCGAGTTTTGATTCTGGCTCTTCCACCAGCTATGTAGCACTAAGGAAGCCATTTTGCTCCTCTTGGATTCCCTCCTAATATTATCAGATAAGCAGGTTAAATAATATCATCTCTAAGGTCCCAGTCAGCTCTGAGATCACAGGACACTAAACATGTCAAAAAAATAGTGACTAATAATGATTTTGTAGGTGTATGTTACTCAACCATTTGTTTAGAAGACCTGAAACATAAAGGTCTTCTAAACAAATGGTTGAGAAAAAAATGGCAAATCATGAAAAAGCATATGTAATGTTATTTTTGTAAATCACGGTTACACAAACATAAGCAGAGGGAAAAAAAAGGTATGGAAAGTTATATGCCAAAAACCAATGCCCTTATCCTTAGATGGCAGGCTCGTAGGTAATTAGTTTCATCATTTATTTTCTCTGTTTTTCTACAACAAAGATGGATTAATATTACTTATGCAGTTAACACACTAATTTTTTAAAGCTCAAAGGATGAATAGAGGAAAGCAAGAAGAATTTTCCTGAGTTGTTTGGGGGATTACAGTCCACCAAAGTTCTGGGAACTTTTATGAGTACAATTTTGGACTGAAGGAGATGATGTGGATCTTGGATCTAAACAGAAAGAATGTGCTTTATTAGGAAACTTAGGGAGCTCATCCTAGATTTGGAAAATGAAGAGACGTAAAAAGACAGGGATCCTGTGGTTAAGAGCTAGAATAGAAATGGCTGAATTAAAAGAGAGTAAAACAGAAAACATCTGGAAGAAATAAGGAAATGCTTTAAACTTGTGTCAAGCTAATGATATAAAATGATATTATATGCATGTAATTTAACTGTATGTATGCGTATGATAAAATATTATATGCATGTAATTTAACTGTATGTATGCGGATGATAAAATATATGCATGTAATTTAACTGAATGTATGCGTATGATAAATTATATGCATGTAATTTAACTGTATGTATGCATATGATAAAATATATGCATGTAATTTAACTGTATGCATATGATAAAATATTATATGCATGTAATTTAACTGTATGCATATGATAAAATATTATATGCATGTAATGTAACTGTATGTATGCATGTTTTAAATACCCCAGTTCCCTTCATGTAAGAGCATATACAGTTTGTGCTCTTAAATTGCCTTTTATCATGTCGTTTTCATTTTTTATTATTTTTAGAGATAGGCCTTACTATATTGTCTAGTCTGGCCTCAAATTTCTTGGCTCAAGCTATCCTCCTGCCTAAGCCTCCCAAATAGCTGGGACTACAGGCATGCACTACCATGCCTGGCTTTTATTATTTCAGAGGCTACTGCCAAAATACATCCAAACAGCGACAGCACTTTACACTCTCACAGATATAAATGGCTCTTTCCTCAGATCCTGAATGATGTTAAATGAGATTCATCTTTTCGTTTTTTTCTAATCTGATCAGTAAAAGATGTATATCAATTTTAATTTGCAGTTATATAATCATTAGTATGTTCAATATCCTTTCACATAATTGGGAAGCAGAAGTGCTGCTTAGGCCATTATTTTGGAATTGCCTGTCCTTAACACAACTTTGCTCGTTTTGTATTGGGCTGTTCGTTCCTTACTGATCTCTAGGAGATCTTTGTGTACTAAAAACATTAGCTCTTTAACCATCAAATACGTTGCAAATACTTTCTTCAAGTTTGTTATCTTTTAACTTTTATGATGTCTTTTACTATGTAGAAGATTTTCTTTTAAAAATTTAATTAAATCTGCCCACTTTCTTCCTTTACAACATCTGAGTTTTATGTTACTACGTAGGAAGGCTTTCCCCATCCCAACATAATAAAGATATCATCTCATGTTTTCTTTTAATGATTTAATAATTTTGCTTTTTCTAGTTATATGTTTAAAATCCACCTGTAATGTATTGTGAATATGGTATGAGCTACAGCCCTGACTGCATCTTCTTCCAAATAGATAATTATCCCATTACCACTGAATAGACGTTTCCTCCTGACTTCGTATGTTCTACTTATCTGTACCTATACTTCGCTATTTTAATGCCATATAATTTGCAATACCTCCAGTTTGCCATTTTAATGCTATTGTGCTCATAGTCACTTTGTAGTCCACTGCACTATCTAATACAGCAAGTATTCCCTTCCCTTTGATCCATCATTCATCTTTTTCCCAAAAATATTTACAGTGTTAGATGTGTACCCTACTAGGTGAGATCTTTTTAATTAATTTTTTCTTGTGTTTTGAAATTCAGCTTCTGGTAGGCCTTGCATTCTAATACTAAGTCTGCCCGCCCTGGATCATGGCATGTCTTTCATTCATTCAAGTCTTGGTTCATATCTTTCAGTAAACTTTCATAACGATTTTGTGAAGAGAATTATTTTTACATTTCAAATTCAACTAATAATTATTAATAGAAAGTAAAAACATTGATTTTTTCAATATTTATTTTGTATCCAAGTATGTATAAAATATTTTAGTAGAATTTCTTGGATATTTGAAGTATATTCTGCAAATAATGGCATCCTGTGATCCAGAATCATGGTAGGAATCTACCTCATAGAAATAATAATGTAGACATAAGGATATGTGTATATGAAATATTCATTTCAGCATTGTTCCTAATAGCAAAAATATGAAAATAATATGAGAGATGTGTAATAAATTATGACATACACATATGCAGTTATTAGATAGTGGACAATAGAGCTTGATGGACTGGTTAGGGAAAATTGCCATGTATATTGTTACATGACAGAAAGCAATTTAAAAATATGTGTAGCAAGTCCCATTTCTATAGGTATATTTATATAGATACATATATGCAAAATAGTTATTTAATGCTTAATTTCAACATTTTATTTTGTTTGTTTTAAATATCTGTACAAACATAAGAAAAAGCTATGCAATAAACACATCCAACTTACTAATTCTGAGAGATACAAATTGTAGTGATAGAAAGACAGTCTTTAGATTATCTTGTAGATAATTTTGCAATAGATAAGTTATGGTCTTTTTCCCTTGTTTTCTGTTTATTTTTCAAACAAAGACTTTAAATCACTGTCTTGAAATTAAAAAATAAAATAGCCAATGCTCCAAACTACCCTACATTAGACCTAGTAGGACAGGACCCCTATTTGAGAAAGAAAAATGTGTGCTTTGGATTCCATTCATTGCATTGGAATGTATCTCTTGAGGTGAGATTTACACCTGTGAGTAAAGGTTCTGTGAGCTCCACTTGTTTCATGGCTGTCTGCTAGATCTTAAGCCCGTCCCCGATACGAAAAAAAGAAACAAGCATCCCAGGGAAGCGGCAAATGCCTACGTTTACACTACTAAGCAGTATTTTGGGGATTCTTGATGGTTTCTCTTATACTTACTACTTTTGCAGATGGGAAAGGGAGGTGCCCAGGTGTGGTCCTCTAGACACTGGCTCCAATTGCTGCCCTTGAGGATGTAATGATCACTGCACTTAAATGTGATTTTGTCACTTACATTCACAGGCCCGGAAGAATAGACTTCGCCATTCACCAGTACGGGGTCAGGACAGTGGCCCACTGAAGAAGAAAATAAGAAGTAATCTGAAAGGGCAAGGCTAAAGCCCAACACAGCAAAGACCAGACCTCCTCAGTCTTCAGTGAGAAAACAGCAAATTAGAGCTAGTACTGCACGTTTTGAATTGGGTGAGGTACATGGTACTACCATATCAACACAGAATGAAGAAAGAGGGGATGACCTAAGTACTTACCTAAGTACAAAAAAATCTTTGTCATGCACAAGAACAACATGACCTGGCAACTAGAAGTAAATAAGTACATAACTGAAAACTATCAACAGCATGCTTGTTGTACTGTTACATTAAGCATGGCTCAAAATTATTGAGCCTATGTTTGAGGCAAGTCTTTCCTTTCCTTTCATCCACCCAAATGTACACTTATCGTTATTTACTTTGTTATGCTTTTTTTCCATGGAGTGGAAAAAAAAAAAAAAAACCAGGAGAGAATGCTCAGGGACATGAGTGTGGTTATATGAATGAAGGATAATAATATTGGTGTACTCTACTCTGGGTATACAAGAGAACTGATACAACTATTCTTTAAAAAATAGGAGTAATAAATGGAATACGGATGAATTATTCCCCATCTCCACAGAGGATACCAGAAATGAGCTTTGTGACTTTGAGCAAGTCAGTTGGATCTCAATTATCACATCTGTAAACTGAGAATATAAACTATTCCCAGTTCAAAGTTGATGGGTGAAATAAAATAATACAATGTACTTCCTTCAAAATAATAAAGTGAGGATATGCATGAAACAAGATTACTCAGGTGTGGACAATTGATGAAATTATGTGACGAGTCTATATGAGTTAATTTGACTCTTCTGTCTGTTGTATACATTTAAAATTTTTCATAACATAAACATTTTTAAACCAATATCAGGTTAAAGAAATTACAGCAAAAAAAAAAAAAAAATAGTACTAGTATCTGGAAGAAATTTCTTTATTTCCCATAGGGTGAATTGATCCTGTTAATTCACCTAAATTAGTACTGATCAAGATCTGATCATGGAGCTTCCAAGAGATGCTCCTTCACTGGTGTGCTTTAAAAGAGGGCTCCTAGAAATTGAGAATTTTTGTTTTCTCATAAAGTTTTACCATGGCCTACAAGAAGTAGGATGTGAAGGAGTAAAACACAGGCAAAGATGTAGCAGGATCTAACTTACAGCAGCACTCAGTGGTGGTGTTATCCCACTCCTTAGAGGCATTGCAGAAAAGGGTCTTCTTTCCTACAAGGTGGTAGCCCTTGATACAAACGTAAGTGCCCAGAATCTGTCCATCCACCTCTTTTGCAACAAATATGCTGTTGTCCACTGGAGGAAGTTCTGGACAGTGCTCTGCTGGAAGGAAAAAGAAAATAAATTCATTTGCCATATCATGTGCTGTCCGAAACCCTTATTAGATTTCCCCATCTTTGTCTCTTTTTGCTGGATTATTGATTCTGATTCTTATAGTCTTCCATGTCCATGTATGTCCATGTCCCTCCCTTCCAGAAGATTTCCAAAGTTTTATTTCCAAAAGAATTAGAGGACTTTTACTCAAATTCAGCCACAAGTTGTCCACTCCTAAACAAATGATTCCCTCCCCAAATAGTGGTCCTGGAGTTTATAACAAGTAAGACCTCATAGGATTTTGAAATTAGTACTCTCTTTGGTCCCAGAACAGAAAAGGAAAGTAAGCAGTAACCACCCACTTCAGAGAGCAGGATCATCATTAAATGTATACTAAACTTCTACTGAGTACAGAACATTAGGATAATGTGAGATTTTTCAATAGAAGAAAGAAATATCATAAATGCAAACTTCCTTAAAGCTCTAGACAGAGTTTCTCATAACCTCACAAATTGACACCAAATGCCTGGTAAACTGAGTTGAGGGAAAGCATACGTACCATTTGAAGCAGAAACCAGCCAGGCAACCACGAGGCAGCATGCACACCAATAAAACATCTGGTGATCAAAGTCCTCACCCCAGGCTGGAATTCACCCAGCCCAGACACCTGGTTTGAATCAAAAAAGATCTAACACGCTTAAGACCAGCCCAACCACCTCCTTTCTAGAGAAGAGGTAATACTGATTTCCCCTCCCTGGAGAAAAAGGAAAAAAAAAATTACAACAGGAAATCTGAACAGCTGTAAGAAAGCTGGCATAGGGAGAGACTGCGAAAATACAAAGGGATGGCAAAAGAGCTGCCAGTTTTAAAACTCAGTTTCAGAAATGTCCTGGTTTCTGGGAATGCAAATCCAGTTGACCAGTCTTTTTGAACCGTGGGTTTATACTTCCCCAACAGACGTGGGCCAAATGGTCTTGCCATGACCTTGACTTCTGTCAATATTTGCCAGTGTTTACAGTCCACCTTCTGTAACTCTGGCCAGCACTGGGGGAAGAGAAGGGGCTGTCAATCCCTGCTACTTTCTCAGATAAGACCCAACTTTGAATGTTACCTCATCCTCCTTTCCTGAATATCAGATATCCTAAGACTGTAAGCAGCACCAAAGACAGAAAGCTCAAGGAAGTGAACTTACCTTACCTGCCTCTGTCCCTCCAGATCTATGACTTCCCAGCAAGAGCTGGTCTTAACTGACTCCACACCTGAGAGCTCCAAAGTCCTGCAGTGACATGTTGTCCTTGCTGGCCGGGCCTGTACCAGGCCTCCTACTTGGTGGCTCTTCCTGTGACAGGATTTGGTCTGAGTCCAGAGTGAACCAAATGAATAGAGGGGTGAGGGGAATGCTTTGGTCTCAGGAGTTAAGGTATGGAAAATTGCTTTGGGGGCTCCCATTGCATCTTGCTCATGGCTGTTATAACACTTGGTTGGTTCTCTGTGCTCTGATTATGAAACTGGGGTAAAATTCCTACAAAATTTCAGGTTTTAACAAAATAACAAAGCATTTAGGACACAGCAAGGTTGCAAATGTTCCTCTCTTCTGAACCCATTATTACTATTTTGTAATGATTAATTTACATCTTTCTCCTGAAAAGAATCAGGATATGCCATCCCCAAATATGCCACTTTGGCATAAAGATTATTTTAAGCTAAAGATATTCGAGATTCAGTGATATGGAAAGGAACAAAGCTTTTTTGGGGGATTCTCTTATCTGACTAAGGGCGGCAACCTTGGAGATAAGGTGGCCGTAATTAATTCCTTTTCAGGGCAGCTCTACTCTAGAAGGGAGAGCATGAGTAAAACATATTTCAAATTCCTTCTCCAGGGAAATGTCATGGCCTTGAAGGAGACAGAAAGAGAAACATTATCACAAACTTTCTTATTTCCTACTTTTCCCCTGAAAACCCTCTTATCTTTCCAAAAAGTAATCTGTTTTCTTTTTTGTTTAAGATGGTGTCTTGGCACAGTGTTGGCTCACTGCAACCTCTGCCTCCCGAGTTCAGGCAATTCTTGTACCTGTCTCCCAAGTAGCTGGGAATACAGGCACGCACTACCACACCTGGCTAATTTTTGTGTTTTTAGTAGAAACAGCATTTCACCATTTTGGCCAAGCTGGTCTCTAACTCCTGCCCTCAAATGATACACCCATTTCGGCCCCCCAAAGTGCTGGGATTCTAGGCATGAGCCACTGCACCTAGCCAGTAATCTCTTTTCTTATAAGTGCCTTTCTTCTCCCCACCTGCACCTATTAAGATGATGTCAAAGTCCCCGATTCTAACCAACTTTTTAAATTACTTACCAACTTTTTAAGTTACTTTCCCACATGTACTCATGTTGCATGTATAAATAGAATTTTCTCCCCTGTTAATCTGTTTTAGCCTAATTTGCAGGTCCCAGCCATTGAATATAATGCAGTAGAGAAAAGGTGTTTTTTTTCCTTTCCTATATTCCCGCATGAAACTGCTAACTCCAGGACAGGTTTGTGTCTGAATTGTCCTTGTATTCTCTTCCACAGTGCTTCATATTGCAAAGCAATTGTCTGTTAAATGAATAAAAGTAATGTAAAAACAAAAGAAAAAAGCAGTCATGCAGAAACTCTACCACAGTCCCCAAAATCCGTATGATCACTTGTCATTGACTGTATGCTGCCTTATAATTTTTTGTCTTATCTTTTCTCAACTAATATGCAAATTTCTGCAGTGTAAGCATCCTCTAAGATACAATTTTCAAAAAGTTAAGAATATGTCACGTAAATATAAGATGGATATGTATCAAAGGTTTAATTCAACTTATTAATTAATGAGGAACCATCCAGATACTACAACTGGCTCAAAGAAGAATTTGAGGAATAGAAATGCAGGGCCGGGCGCGGTGACTCACGGAATCCCAGCACTTTGGGAGGCTGAGGCAGGTGGATCACAAGGTCAAGAGATCGAGACCATCCTGGTCAACATGGTGAAACTCCGTCTCTACTAAAAATACAAAACATTAACTGGGCATGGTGGCACGTGCCTGTAATCCCAGCTACTCAGGAGGCTGAGGCAGGAGAATTGCCTGAACCCAGGAGGCGGAGGTTGCGGTGAGCCGAGATCGCGCCATTGCACTCCAGCCTGGGTAACAAGAGCGAAACTCCGTCTCCAAAAAAAAAAAAAAAAAAAAAATGCATATAGTCAGGCAGTTGAAAGCATTCTGCAGTGACCTTTCTAATAGATACAAAACTGGTTAATATCCTACAGAGTAACAAACTATAATATTTGCAGTTGGCTTTCTACCTGGTAGAAAGTAATTAAAACAAAATGGACAACATGTATTTGCTCTACCATATCAGGAATCATTTTCATTGTTCTCAGATAAGAATCATCTGCATTCCTATCAATTTCCTGCAAATTAGCCTCTTAAAGAGTTCTAAAAGAGCCTAATTAATATAAAGTCCATCAGAGTCACATACTCCTGTGAAGTGATCATCCCCAGAGGGTCTGCTAGAAAATGCCCAGGGACTATTTATTGACCATTTACTCCAATGATGTCTTTTTGCTAGTCCTAAGCTTTGAACAATTTTTCTTAATACACCCCCTGTTCTACTTCTTGAGGAATGCATGTTCTTCAGTATCTTTTATAGATTTATATACGGAATGTTTTTACAATACATTATTTTAAAAAGGAAAGAAAATCTAGTTTACGCCTACATAAATATAGAGATAAGACAGAACATGTATTACAGGAAATAATTGCAAGTAATTCTTCATCTTGATGGCTTACTTCAGATTGAGAACTATTAGGAATTTAGAAACCACATTGCTTATACTATTGTCTTACTAATATTTCTCCATAAAATATTAAAATATTCATATTAAGTGCCTATATAGAGACAATACATATCATCACAGTTTGGGTCAGGTTTTTTCTGTCAAACGAGTTAGAAGAAAACTTTGCCTCAAAGGTGCTCAGATTTTAGAATTACAGATTAAAGATAGAAACAGAGAGTGATCGAGAGAGAGAGAGAGAGAGAGAGAGAGAGAGAGAGAGAGAGAGAGAGAGAGAAATACAGTGGGTCCTGAGGGAAAGGCAGAACCAGCGATGGATGCAGAGAGACAGAGACACTTTGGAAGGGTTCTCTGGGGGCTCTGAAGACAAGTCTCTACTTGGCATTGCCATTGCCCCCCCAACCCCGCTCCTCCCTCCCCAACCCTCCCTTCCCTAAGGACATGCAAGAACATCAGAGACAGAGACAGACAGAGATGGAGTCAAAAGACAAGACACTGACACAGTGAATCAGAGAGAGACAGAGACACTGTAGCACGTGCGAGGTCGGTGCTGGGAGAGGGGTTTGTCCTCTTCCCTCTGCCTCCCTCCTCGTCTCCCCAACGTCTCCCCCTTCACCACCTTCCTGCCTCACTCTGCTCCCCTTCCAAGCCTGCATGTTCCTCAGGGCTTTACCTTGGCTACAGGACAAGGTCCTCCTGGAGCTCCTGATGGGTGAATATTTATACAACAAGAGTAAATATAGATTATAGGCTTATATATTTTACTATGTGTATCCAATGTTAGGTAAATTAATAAACGACCATTTGTGGGCTCTTCTATTCCCTTGAACATTAAGAATAATTGGATCTATGCCAGACTGTTTCCTGGAGAATGAGGGTAATAGCTCAGGTGAAACCATTGTTCTCAGACTAATTTCATTTTTTCACGATGGAACAGGCAAGGTGAGCGTAGTGGCTCATGCCTGCAATCCCAACACTTTGGAAGGCCAAGGGAGGTGGATGGCTTGAGCCCAGGAGCTTGAGACCAGCCTGGGCAACATGGCAAGGCATCATCTCTACAAAAAATATATATATATATACAGATATTAGACAGACATGGTGGCACATGCCTGTAGTCTTAGCAACTTAGGAAGCTAAGACAGGAGGATCACCTGAGTCCAGGAGATCAAGGCTGCGGTGAGCTATCCTTGCACCACTGCACTCCAGCCTATGCAACAAAGCAAGAACCTGTTTCAAAACAACAAAACAATAACAAAACACAAAGAAATGGGCAGACTAGTAATTAAAGGAAGAGCTCAGGAGGTGAGGAAGGAGTGGAAATGCAAAAGTCAGCAATGCCCAATCTGGGGAAAGAGTTGTGGGGAGATTTATAAAAGGGGAACATGAATTGTAGTGTGTGTAGGACTTTAAGAGAATTAGGGAAAGACTAAGAAGTTCTACGGGGTATCATGAATGGATTCCCTTTGGTCTTTATCAAGAGAATTTAGAAAAGATTTAAATTGCTCTTCTAATTCTTTTTACACATTGGGTTGATGTTTCTTGAATGCCTCACCAAAACAGCCTGGGTCAGAAAAGTAACCTTAAGGGAGATTCCATGAGAATCTAAATTTTAAAAAGAATTTTGAAAAATCAAATCGTGCATGAAACACTGTTGAATAAGATTCAGTTATGAGTTTAGATGGACCTGCACTGTGGCAATATCAGAGCTAATGAATGAAAAATACTCTAAGTTGTAGGGGACCAAAATAAGTCACCTCAAAATATGCCTCTTTGGCATAAGGATTATTTTGAACTGCAGGTAAACGAGATGCAATGGAAACAGAAAAAAAGCCTTCCTGGAGTTTCCCTTAGATGACTATAAGCAGAAACTTCTGAGAAATGAGGACTGCTGTAAATCCCTTCTCCCGAGGGAGTTTTAGGGCCATGAAGAAGTCAGTGTCAAGACGGATGACCGGGCGCCGTGGCTCACGCCTGTAATCCCAGCACCTTGGGAGGCCGAGGCGGGTGGATCATGAGGTCAAGAGATCGAGACCATCCTGGCCAACATGGTGAAACCCCGTTTTACTAAAAATACAAAAAAATTAGCTGGGAGTGGTGGCGTGCACCTGTAGTCCCAGCTACTCGGGAGGCTGAGGCAGGAGAATTGCTTGAACTTGGGAGGCGGAGGTTGCGGTGAGCCAAGGTTGTGCCATTGCACTCCAGCCTGGCGCCTGGTGAGGGAGCGAGACTGTCTCAAAAAAAAAAAAAAAAAAAAAAAAGACGAACCTACACAAACCTTCTCCACTAGTT